GACGAGGATTGTAGGATCCTCCAAGAGGACTTAAACAGGCTGCAGAGATGGTCAGGGAAATGGCTACTGGAGTTTAACACCAGTAAATGTAAAGTTATGGAAATGGGATCAGGTGACAGGAGACCAAAGGGACAGTACACAATGAAGGGGAACAGCCTACCTGTAACGTTTCGAGAAAGGGACCTGGGAGTGGATGTGACACCTAATCTAACTCCTGAGGCACATATAAATAGGATAACGACAGCAGCGTACTCTACACTGGCGAAAATTAGAACTTCATTCAGAAACCTAAATGAGGAAGCTTTTAGGGCGCTTTACACTGCCTACGTGAGACCCGTCTTAGAGTATGCCGCGCCATCATGGAGCCCCCACCTGAAGAAACACATAAAGAAACTGGAGAAGGTTCAGAGGTTTGCGACGAGGCTTGTCCCAGAGCTACGAGGGATGGGATATGAAGAGCGGCTGAAGGAACTGAACCTTACGACACTAGAGAAAAGAAGGGAGAGAGGAGATATGATAGGGACATATAAAATACTCAGGGGAATTGACAAAGTGGAAATAGATGAAATGTTCACACGTAATAATAACAGAACGAGGGGACATGGGTGGAAACTGGAAACTCAGATGAGTCACAGAGATGTTAGGAAGTTTTCTTTTAGCGTGAGAGTAGTAGAAAAATGGAATGCACTTGGGGAACAGGTTGTGGAAGCAAATACTATTCATACTTTTAAAACTAGGTATGATAGGGAAATGGGACAGGAGTCATTGCTGTAAACAACCGATAGCTAGAAAGGCGGGATCCAAGAGTCAATGCTCGATCCTGCAAGCACATATAGGTGAGTACATATAGGTGAGTACACACACACACACACACACATACCACTGTACCCCAACACACACACACACACACACACACACACACACACACACATACCACTGTACCCCAACACACACACACACATACCACTGTACCCCAACACACACACACACACACACACACACACACACACACACACACACCAATTCTCTACCAAACTCTTAAATATGAAAGACGGTGATAATTTAACACAATAAACTTCCAATAGGCGACGATCAAGTGAACTGGTGGCCTCGAGGGACACGATAAAGTACAATAAAAAGAGAACATTGGTGCGTAAATGTTCTCCAGCGGTGACTATATGTTTCTCCAGAGGCCAGACACACGCTACACATGGTGACGCCCCCACACATCCCATGGTGACGCCCCCACACATCCCATGGTGACGCCCCACACATCCCATGGTGACGCCCCACACATCCCATGGTGACGCCCCCACACATCCCATGGTGACGCCCCACACATCCCATGGTGACGCCCCCACACATCCCATGGTGACGCCCCCACACATCCCATGGTGACGCCCCACACATCCCATGGTGACGCCCCCACACATCCCATGGTGACGCCCCACACATCCCATGGTGACGCCCCCACACAGTATGAACATGACTAACCCACTGCCAACATTACAGAATGTTCGGTAATATGTTTATTGCTTGTGATGTGTGTCTATGTATGTATTAACACGATGTACTGGACGGGGTGAGAATAGCTTGAGCTACCTCATCCCTTTGTGGGTATTTTACCTCAATAAACTTATTTCAATTTCAATTTCAACCCACTGCAAGCCTCCGGTGACTTCGATAAGATTCAGTAATTTCTGTATAATATTCGGTCATATATGTTCAAAGTTCGGTTACATGTAAGCTGCATTTAGTTACCCTTGTTTAATGTTCAGTTGCTTGCTTGCAACATTATATGATAATTGTTCAATATTCCAACTACCTGGGCTGGACGGTAGAGCGACGGTCTCGCGTCATGCAGGTCGGCGTTCAATCCCCGACCGTCCATAAGTGGTTGGGCACCATTCCTTCCCTCCGTCCCATCCCAAATTCTTATCCTGACCCCTTCCAAGTCCTATATAGTCGTAATGGCTTGGCGCGCTCTCTCCCCCGACCCTCCTTCTATCACTTGCACAATATTCGGTGATTTGTTAAAAATATTCAGTAACTTGTGCAACATTGAGTCACCTGTGCAACAGTCACCTGTGCACTATATAGTCACGCGCAGTTTACCAATAATGCCGGAGAACTAATTACCATAATTTTTTATCAATTGATAAACACGGAACTGAAGATGATTGGTGGATCATGTTGGCCGGATGTGTGACAAGTGCTTGTTGGTGGCGCTGGTAGAAGGGGGGGGGGGAGGCCACACCCTGTATTCACTCTTGTTCTCTCTCTCTCTCTCTCTCTCTCTCTCTCTTGATACGATAGATAATAAAACATTTATATAAATCGCCACATCTGCCTTTAAATGTATTATCATATCGTACATTTCGTTACATTGAGAGTCCAGTCTTGTGTTTTCCTCTCTAACTGCGGCTCTTACGTGTAATTGGCTTTATAACCAGTTATTTGAACTTTTGTGAAGTTTTTCTCTTGACGAAAGAAATTAGAAAATAAGAGAGAAGCAGAAAGACAGAAAAAGAGAGCTGGAACTGAGAATGGATCTATGTAATTTAAATAAGCTTGCGTGGGGAAAATATCTCGTTCATTACACATGAACAAGAGAACTGAACATTGCAGGTGTGAGAGAGTAACTGAAAGAACAGAACAAAAGAAATAATGCAACACGGAGCGTATTCACGGGAGCAGCGAGAGTCTTCAGTCAGGCGCCAGGCGGCGTGTCATTCAGTCGGCAGCCAGTCAAGGCGGAGGAGCTGGTGACCCGAGGAGCTCTTGCTTGTGTCCTGGCCGTGTCTTGAGCGCCAGGCAGCCCTTGAGGTGAGTGCTGGTGGCGAGGGACACTCCTACGGTAGTCACATGAACCAGTAAACTTCTAGTCACCAACATTGGCGACACGTGCCAAATAACTGTTTAAAGTTGACAGAGTATGCGAGATTAAACATGTAATATTTGCAGTTTCAGAAGCAAAACTAACAGTTCAAATACTAATACTATCTGTCCTGAAGAATACTAAGCAGTAGGAGATTGGACAGGTGAGGAGGACTTGGTGTGGGGGTCGCCTCAGTGGCACACTACTCTGGGGTTTTGTGTAAACTAACTGACAGTGGCAGATGAAGCCTTTGATCACACTGGGGAATTACAGTAACATTAGGAGAAAGGGTTTCGGAAGCATCAGTCTATAAGCCATCTCTGACCAGCAAAATACTGAAAGAAGGTAAGGTAATTATCAGGAGAAAGTACGACTATATTGTACTTGGAAAGGATAAGGATTTGGGATGGGACGGGGGAAAGGAATGGTGCTCAACCTCTAGGACGGTCGAGGATTGAACGCCGACCGACAAGAAGCGAGACTGACGCTCTACCGTCCAGTCCAAGTGCTTGGACAATATTGGAAGAAATACAGTATAATACAAAAGAGAGTAGAACCGGTCTAGTACTGAGAGAGCCTCAGAGACATCACACAAAATGGAAGTGAATCTCCTAATATTCGGAGAGAGTTTACTATGAGGAAATTATCTTTGAAAGACGGGACCCCTTTGTGTTGATCAAACTTGGAGGAAGAGAGTCCTGGATGTAATCAAAAACAAAGTCTGCAAGACAGCAAATGAAGGTGAGAGAAAATTATGAATCTGAAAAAATAAACTTTGAAATAATACCAAATTAAGCTGACAATGAGGCTGTGAAAATGCTGATCTTCCAGAGACCAGCGACCATTATGCACAAGCCACCGGGGACCAGCGACCATGGTCTCCAGTACCGGTGTAACGCAGACTGTGCATACTCCTTTGAATGGATCTATTTAGGTTTTATATGCCGCTGTTATGCGAGTCAGCGTCTCGTGTGCCGGTGGTGGCGGAGGTCACAGAGGTCACCACAGAGGGGAAGAGGAATATTGGTTGCTGTTGGCAATCGGCAAAACAACCTTATTTATGCATACACCAGTAAGTCAACTGCACGCGTGCAGGTGACTTACGCCCCTGCAAAGCGGGGTGTACTGGGTGTGTTTGGTGTACTGGGTGTGTTTGGTGTACTGGGTGTTGGTGTACTGGGTGTGGTTCAGAGAAAGTCGCCTGCTGGTCCTAAGTATTAGTCTAAGCAGAGCACCATTATTATTTTAACATAGTGGTTTATGACGTAGAGTGTGAGGCTAAGCGTGGTTAGTGAGCCTGAAGTGCCTCGTCAGAGAAGAGGTAGACTCATTAGCTTGTGGGCATCAAAGAACAAGTTACATTATGAGGTATTTTGTTTAATGGATTTAGTTGAGTATAGTTGAAGTTTCAGTGGGTACGAGGACTTGCCCATGACTACGACCTCTGACCACGACCCTCCACTACTACCTAACCATCCACTAAACTGCCTCTACCCCTCTGAGTTTGATCCCTGACAATGACCCTTGATCACAACTCTTTGCAACGACCACTGACAACGACCACTGTGCCACGACCCCTAGACAGTGCACACTAGATTGCATTAAAGGTCAATTTTAATTCAGAATGATGTTCTTATCGTCATGTATTAGTATCGTCGACATTACGATAGACGCAGCATAGCAAGATCATTACGACACCTGAGAACAAGATGGACCTCCGCACCTGCCCTCGCCTCACTTTACTAATCAAAGACAATAACTTTGACTTGCTAATCATTCCAGTCACAAGCAAGCTGGCTAAATTGATGTGAAATTACGAGGCGCAACCAGAGTAGACGTTTTGGTATCGCCAGTCTTCCAGTGCTTAATTAACCTTGACAAGTAAAGAAAGCGTTGTGTTTTATTTGGGATAACACTTCACCCTAAACCTTGGCTGAGTATCCAGAGTGTACACACACACATACTACCCCGGGGCCACAGATTGTACTCTCTGTGGCCCCCCGGGGTGCTGCTTCACCTTACACAACCTTCCCTTGTAATGCTCCCTCATTACAGATACACTAAGCTTGAAAGAATCATTTTAAATTCACCTTTTTGTTTTTAGATACGTGTCGTTTTCTGGTTTATGAGGAAGAGGAGAATGTGTGCGTGGTGGGTGGCAGGGCTGGTGGTGGTGGTGGTGGGGATCGAGGCGGTCGCCCGATGGGACCACTTTATCGCTCCGGGCTTCGCCTTCCAGAGGAGCGACTCCTACACCAGCTACAACGTCACCTCTCTAGGTGGGTCCCTCCTGACCCCGACCACCCTCCCCCAACCCTCTTCCCCCCTTCCCCAACCCCCAGCAACCAGGTGACACTCAACTTGTTCTCTTAAACTGTTACTACCTCCAGCTGTTAAAGAGGCTTGTGCAAAATATGAACTGTTAATTGTACATGGAAATTAGTCCATTTTTGTGTTATTAATTTTGTAAAAGGTCGTAGAGAGACAGCCCATGGTTCGAGTCATTGGCCGGGGAGGATTGACTAGGCGCCAATCATTAACTGTACGCTTCTGGTCATCCAGCAGTAAATGGGTACCTGGTTGTTAAACAACTGGCGAGTTGTTTAACAACCAGGGGAAACTAGTAGTGTAAGACTTACCACGAGCCATGGGAAGGACAAACTCTCAGCTTGTTAACACGAACCAGCAGTCATCTCTCCCTGTACACACCTGTATGAAAAAATGATAGTACTTACAACAAATATTTGGTCCAACGTACCAATATGTACTATTGGACCCCAAAAAATCCATTAACTAAAGTACACTACACCTCTTACAGACCAGTGTAAGATGATGTGTTCGGTGGTGGCGGGAACCCCTCAGTGCATGGCGTGGACGGCAGTCCGTCAGGGGCCGGGAGCCTGGACGTGTCTCCACGCCAGCCACAGTCCGCCCTTCAACACCCTCACCACCAACACCAACTCTGTCATGGGCTACACCGAAGGTGCGTCCATATCTGTCAGTAACTTTAAAACACAAATATCTTATTCAATAAGTTTATAAAATTGTTATTCAAAGTTATTTTTGTTGGAATATTTTTTAAATTTTATATTAGATAATTTAACATTTTATATATTATGAAATTTATAAAATTGTCCTCAAAATGGAGAACAAGACCTCTGCTCGTTCTCCATTTATTTAGACCTGTCGTGGACGGTACTGGACGACCTCCATAACAGTGACTATTGTTCTCTTTCCGCCCTCCTCTCTCTCTTACTCTCGTTCCTTTGGTGGGAATTTGATAAGGCGGACTGGAATCTTTTTCACCCTCTACGCTCCTCTTTCCACCCTGCCCGACCTGCCTTTTTCGTGAGACCCTCTTGGACGATGCCCTCTGTTCCTCGCTATGCCTCCAGTGGCGCGCGGAAATGGGTTCCCTGTTAGAGTTCGGACTATGATCGGGCTGTACGGTGTAAGCGTGCAGCCTGGAAGACTCACCGCCGTACACTGACTCCTGATTATTTTCTTTTGTTTCGGAAGGCGTGTGCGGTGGCCAGTAGGACCATCCGTACTACTGAATGGGAGAGTTGGAGGTCCTATGTCTCAACCATTACGGTTGACACTCCTCTCCCTCAGATCTAGAAGAATCTAGTAAGATTGTTTTCAAGTTTGTTCCAGACCTCTCGCCTGTCCTTCGCCTCCATGGCTCTGTTATTGCGGATCCGGAGTTGGTCGCGATCGCATTGGGTTCTCACTTTTCTGCCATTAAATCCTGTTGCCAATTTTTTCCTACTTTCCTTTCTCGTAATCCCCTTCTTGAGTCTCGTAACTTGGTCTTTCACATTCACCTCCAGCTAACCTATAACGATCTCTTCTTGCTCTTAAAACTCCAGTCTACCATATCTCTCTGTCGTTCTACAGTGGCGGGCTCAGACAGCGTTCATTAAGATGCTTCGTCATCTCCCACACGGTACCTTTCAGTATTTGCTGTTTATATTCCTATTTGGGAGACGCCGTCTGCTCCCGAAGACTGGCTTGTGGCAGTTGATCTTCCTATTCAGAAATCCGGTACTCTTGGGGCCTCTCATAAGGATTTTTGACCTATTGCCCTGACGAATTGCGTCTTAATAATTATCACCTTCACGCCCTCGACGAAATGGACTGGACGTACCCCGAGGTGCCCTTGACGTTTTCGGGTGACCGAGCGGCAACACGGAAAAGTGCATACTCTTTTCGCTGCCCTGACCTTAATTTTCGATATACAGATTTTATTTTTGTACCAATGTGTTTGCAATAGAATGATCTATAAGAACATATGTATATGTCACCAAAGCATGGGTTAAATCACACAAAAAGCTAAAGAACTACATTGATCACTAGCCGTGAGCTCCAAACAGCGACGAAATGTTTCTATTCTTTTCAGGGTTGTCAACTCCACATTGTCCTATAGCGTTAAATTTGGTATCACTGTGATCGCAATTAAATTCCCTATACGGACATATGCATATAAATGTAGAATCATGATCGCGGCCTACACCAAGAGTGTGTGAAGTGGGCGATTACACTCGCCGTGTCAACAATACAATAGTCTTTCCAATAAGTTACAATACAATGCCGTTCTCCCAAATAGGCCATGTGCGCTTTAGAGAAAACGAAAATTTAATGGTAAACTTTTTCATACTATCCCCAAGTCGATCGAATAAGAATTGGATTTTATACAAATATTTTTTAATCGCGCGTAAATTTACGACGCTACAGCAACTAGTGGTCAAAATACCGGTATTTACGCGTCGTTTATTTGCGACCCAGGTGTGCAAAAGTGCTAAGAGATTAAAAGATCACTAAAAAGCCTGAATATGTGCAGGAAACGAGAGGTGGAGACACCCATACAACTATGATCTCTATGAATTTCGTCCTTTTCAGACTCTCTGAAGGGAGAGCTTAATGCAGTCCAGGCGGAGGACGGCCACTACTACTTTATACCATCATCCCAAGCAAACCATAACTTCGACTTTGCAAAGCAGTACTGCCAGAACCTCCCAGGCTTCAGATTAGCCATTTTCTACACTTTCGAACAAATGCAGATGGCCTTGAACTTGATAAACAAAAGTAAGGAGTGTATAAGATTTAATCTACTCTAGTTTCTCTGTGTCTCTCCTACCTATTTTTCTTTCGTAGGTTGCGGTTACCTACCTAGAGGTTACCTTGAGGTGCTTCCGGGGCTTAGCGTCCCAGTGGCCCGGTCGTCGACCAGGCCTCCTGGTTGCTGGACTGATCAACCAGGCTGTTGGACGCGGCTGCTCGCAGCCTGACGTATGAGTCACAGCCTGGTTGATCAGGTATCCTTTGGAGGTGCTTATCAATTTCTCTCTTGAACACTGTGAGGGGTCGGCCAGTTATGCCCCTAATGTGTAGTGGAAGCGTGTTGAACAGTCTGGGGCCTCTGATGTTGATAGAGTTCTCTCTCAGAGTACCTGTTGCACCTCTGTGACACTCAATTTTGAGTGTCACATGGTGTTCAGTTCCGCATTGTTAGTTGCATTTCAGTCCTCCTTTTACATATAACATTACTCCACGTCCTCTTGATTGTTGCATGGCTCTTCCTGCATAATAGAAGGATGATAGATGGAATAACTAGTATGAATTTCACTTTTCCTCAAGTCTGCTTGATTTTGTTGCAGTTCCCGATACATTAATGTCCTTATGCTGCTCAAAGGCAGCCCAAGCTGGCAAGTACCTTCCACTTTAAGAACACATACTTTGGCTAGCTCACCAGTTCTATAATGCGCTCAAAGCCAATGTGAGAAGGAATCCCTAGGAGACCAATTCTGACCCCCATCATTAAATATTTTATTATATCTGTGCCTAGTTTCAGACACAAGCACATCACAGTTAGACGATGAGTCACAATAACACGGCTTGAAGATATGAGCACTAAACCACACACCAGAAGATGATGAGACGACGTTTCGTTCCGTCCTGGACCATTATCAAGTCGATAGGCCATTATTCAGTCGACTTGATAATGATCCAGGACGGTCCATTATCAAGACGATTTGCTGTAGAGCAATCTTTGGCAGGAACTGTTACTGATGTTCTTTTTTTTAGATTCAGCTACTCGGAACAAAAATTTCCAAGCAGCACGGGCTATGGTGAGCCCGTCGTACTCACCTGGCACAGGAGATGTGCCTGTTGGCAGGAGCAACTGAACCTTTGTTTATATATTACGGTTGATATCTTAGAAAGCTTCTTGATTTAGTTTTAAGTCAGAGTATTATATCATTAACAGTTTGGTAAAACGCGGAAACGGACTTAATTGTCTCCAATTTGTCAATATCGGTAAAATGTTGACCATTGTACTCATGGTAGCCTTCTATTGCTTTTGCGTGCACACTCCTATATGGATGTTTGTACATGTGTGAATATTTGTGTACGAATGTCTGTGTATCATATGTATGCGTACACAAGCACGATCTCTATTTGCCATATAATTAATTAATCAACTTAGTCTTATGATAAACTCATAGTTGCTCATCTTGGACTCTTTACAGATGTGTACATCGGTCTTCAGAACAATGGAAATGGTTTCCAATGGGGAGACGGGACACCTTTTCCTAGTGAATTGTCAAGGTTGATTTGGAACTATAATTATAGCAACGACCCTTATGTGAGGACCGACGGTAACAACTACCAGAGGGATCATAATATAGATCTCTTCCTTTGCCAGCATTAGACATGATTTTTGCGAGTGGTCTTGAAATACGAGAAGGAGGAGGGAAGAAGAGATACTCGCACGCGAGTGTGTGTGTACTCACCTAGTTGTGTTTGCGGGGGTTGAGCTCTGGCTCTTTGGTCCCGCCTCTCAACCGTCAATCAACTGGTGTACAGGTTCCTGAGCCTATTGGGCTCTATCATATCTACATTTGAAACTGTGTATGGAGTCAGCCTCCACCACATCACTTCCTAATGCATTCCATTTACTAACTACTCTGACACTGAAAAAGTTCTTTCTAATGTCTAGCTGAGTGTGTACTCAGCCAGGTGTATTTGGAGGGTCGACCCCTCCAAGTGACCCCTCCAAAAGACCCCTCCAAAAGTGACTCTTTTTTTACTCGTATTTTTATTATATTTTCATTTAAAAATGTGTACCAAATTCCTTTGACAACTTCCTCATTTAGTTCGTTTCACATATTTACGACTCTTAGATTGAAAAAGTTTCTTGTGACATCTGTGTTTCCATCTGTGTCCCCTGTTCTATTGTTTCTCACTGTGAATGCTGCTTCTCGATCTACATAGTCAATTGCCCATTAGTATTTAGTGTGACATTATCATGTCTGCCCCATTCCTTATTTTTCTCCAGTGTGTGGGTGTGCGCGCGCGCACTGGCCTATTTGTACTCACCTATTTGTGCTTGCAGGATTGAGCATTAGCTCTTCGACCCCGCCTCTTTCCAGCCGCCGGTTGTTTAAATCAATGACTCGTGTCATCTTTCCCTATCATATCTACTTTTTAAAATGATGAATAGAGTTTGTTTCCACAAACTGCTTCTTTAGTTCATTCCATTTCCCACTACTCTCACGCTAAATGAAGACTTTCTAACATCTTTGTGACTCATTTGAGTTTTCAGCTTCCACCCATGTCCCCTCCTTCTGTTATTATTCAGTGTGAACATTTCATCTATTTCCACTCTCTTAATCCACCTAAAGTATTTTGTACGTCTCTGCTATGACTCCCCCCTCTCTCTCTCTCTCTCTCCTTATTTCTAGCGTCGTCAGAATCGGTTCTTGCATTCGATCTTCCTATCCCATCCCTCGCAATTTTGGGAAGAGCCTTGTCGCAAACTTCTGAACCTTTTCCAGTTTCTTTTGTTTTTCAGCGGGTGGGGGGTTCCATGATGGGGTTTCATACGTTAAGACTGGTCTCACGTAGGTAGTGTAAAGTGCTCTAAATGCCTCTTGACTTAGGTTTCTGAATGATGTTCCAACTTTTGCTAGCGTAGAGTACACAGCTGATGTTATTCTATTTATATGTGCCTCAGGAGTTATTTTTGACGTTACGTCCACTGCCAGGTCGTCACGAGTCATCACGGGGAGGTAGTTTCCCTTCATTGTGAACTGTCCCATTGGTCGCCTGTCGCCTGTTCCCATTTCCATCACTTGACACATACTCGTGTTAAACTCCAGTAGCCATTTCTCCGACCATCTCTGCAACTTTTTCAAGTCCTCTTGGAGGATCCTACAATCCTGTGTGTGTATGTGTGTGTGTACTCGCCTAGTTGTAATCACCTAGCATCACATGCTTCATTCAGTAATGACTAATGAGGTTGTTGAAGTCCTCAAAATTATAACCTGTAACGCTCTTGTTATATCGACAAAGTATTAACAAAGCACAACAGTGATTAAGTTTTGATCTTGTTTCTGAAAATGCAAAAACTGGTTGAACGTTTTCTCTGCACCTCTCCTAAGATTAGTGGTCTACGTCGTCGGCTCGCAACCAAGGTGCCCGAGTTCAGTTCTCGAGCAGCACAGAGACATGGGACCTTTTCCTCTTAATTTGACGCATATATTCGCCTAGAAGTATATAGTTTTTTCAAGTATATTCCTGCGCGGGCCCTGAGCCTCTGGCTGGCCCTCAGTGCTAGTCATGTCTATCGTAGACGGTGGATGAGTGCTCGACTTGTATGTTGGCTTCAGTAAGGTTATGTCCAACGTTTAACATTGGACATAATCTTACTGAAGCCAATAAACTAGTCATAAATTAGTATCTGAAAGTTGGGTAACTTGTTTCAGGTTGCATCTTGAGCTAAGGGGGTCTCAGTGAACATAAATTACAAGCTTCCTGTCCCCGACAACGGGGGAATAAAATACTAGCTGTTTGTGAAATGTATTACTGGGAGATATACACTGAGAGTTTATTGACCAGACCACACACTAGAAGGTGAAGGGACGACGACGTTTCGGTCCGTCCTGGACCATTCTCAAGTCGACAATCGACTTGAGAATGGTCCAGAACGGACCGAAACGTCGTCGTCCCTTCTCCTTCTAGTGTGTGGTCTGGTCAACATACTTTAGTCACGTTATTGTGACTCTTCGCCTACACTGAGAGTTTACTTTAGTCCTGCACCTTTGTTGCCTTAATAACCCTCGAGAAGTTAGTCAAGTTCATGCCTAAGAGCCATGTTGTGTGTACGTTGTTCACAGAGTTTACTGATGGATATATTTCTCTGACACTGAGAACATAAATAAATTGTACCTGCATATGGAAGACTTATTAACCTATTCTACACGATTGCGGTTGTCGAAACTTGAGGAAATACTCTGATTTATGGGGGTCACTTTATGTGTATAAAGTTTAGGCGCCAGGCAATGTGAAGGGAAGAGCGTTGAGTGTCGGAAAATCCGACATCATTTAATAATATTACATGCAATTGCAGATAATATTGCTGCCGTTGTTACTCGGTTCCCACATTGAGCCAGTGGGACTATAGCATTTGGAAGGGGTATGAGGACCAGGAGCTGGGATATAATTATCATAATTGATAATTATGAGTCATGTAGCGCAATTGTCGATGTCCTCGACTCACACTCAAGGAACCGGGGTTTAATCACCGGGCTGGACAGAAACGGTTGGGCACGTTTCCTGTCACCTGTTGCATCTATTCACCTAGTCCGCCATAATGTGTGTCTCTCCTGCTTTGAGAAGGATTCCCTCCCCGAACTTGTTGTTGTTTTTAGATTCATCTACTTAGAACAAAAGATCCAAAGTAGCACGGGCTATGGTGAGCCCGTAGTGGTCTTACCTGGCACAGGAGCGGGACTGTAACTGCTCCCCAAACTACACGCAGGACATAATAAGCCATGAAGCATGCTGGAACTGGTGGGTAGGTAGTTACTCGCGTCACAGGTCAACGCCCTCGGTAGCCAATAGGGAGGCTTGACGAGTCTCCGGGACGAGGCAGACCTTCTCTAGTAGCTCCAAGATACCGGTAGGAATGGACTCCTTATTTATTACGCGGCTGGAAACAAGAATCTGGACATTGTCGTGTAGTGCAGATCTTGAAACACTGCTGAGGCGAGGTGATGACACCTGTGAAGAAGTCTCAGAAGAAACTTGATGTTCTCTGAGGCAAAAATGAATAAGAAAGACTTGCGGCATGACGGCGTCTGACGTGGAAGGTGATGGTGGGAGTGAGGTACTGGTCTAGTACTCAGCAGTACCCAGTTGTCGTGTGCGGCCTCCAACACCCCTCGTCAGACAGGCTGAGGACCGCCCATAATTTTGAGATATATACAAGAGTTGTTACATTCTTGTACAGCCACTAGTACGTATGTCTAACTATATACGTCTGACACTAGCCACTAATCATATGGGTAAGTTCAAGTGACCAGCAAAGTGTTGTCTAAAGTGCAAATTCGCCAGAGCGCCAGTAACTGCACAGGGAATATTGATTTTACAATTGTCATATTTTGTTGGCTCGGTAGAACGAGCAGTGTTTAGTGAAGAGTAATGTATAGAGACTTGGAGTGACTCGTATGTGAACGTACCTCATGGTTTCAGTCGTACAACTGCTCATAGGCTCATTGTAGACTCCCAGTCCGGACTCTTGGGTGAAGTCCCCCCTCCACTTGGGGGGGGGGAGGGGAAGGATCTATCTTGAGATGATTGATACAAGCGTAACATATATATACATTATTTTATATAATAGTTACGTATATTATACATTAATTTATAATAATTACAAAAGCTTCCTGTGGGATAATCCCACCAAAGACCCATTAAGCTTGTTATTTGCGTGTGGTACAAAGTCATTATTGATTGATTGACGAACATTAAGCCACCCAAGAAGTGGCACGGGCATGAATAGCCCGTAATCATTATTTACGAATTTATTTTCTCGTTAATAACTAATATTGTTAACTATTAAGTAAAAATAAAATTAATGAAAACAGCAATAAGTTACACACAATATTGTTTCTCATTGATACATCACGTTAATGTGATTTCTTTGTGCAATAATAATAATAATTCATTGTGTCGGCGGACAGACAGCCAGTGTAAATATATATATATATATAATGTATATATATATATGTATATATATATGTATATGGTTTGGTTTGGTTTAAGGCGTCCTGTACATACCAGTTGCGTTGCTCCTGGCAGTATGGGTTCGAGTCACTTCTGGGGTGTGAGTTTTCAGTTGCATATAGTCATGGGGACCATTCAGGCTTGTTCGCATGTTAGGCTTATATCGAGGTCTCTTCCCCCCCCCCCCGGGTTGAATTACTGTACTGACCCCCCCCCCCCATCCCCTCCAGAATGGAACCCCCACAAGAAGCTGACTTACCTCCTGGGTGCCTATTTACTGTTTAATGAGTTTAAACCAACATGTACATAGTTCATTGTACACTCCGAACATTGGCTAATCATGATTTGAAGCCTAAACCACCATCAGTTATGGAACTAATGGATAACCTACTGATATTAGCACAGAACAACAAGATCATAAGTTATTAAGCAGCTTTGTTACCATATTAGTAATGATAAGTCATTTTAAACTAATCTGTTAACCTTGTACGGCTGTTGATTCTTGCAACTTTAGCTCAATTGTTTAAATTTCTCTACATGGCCTTCTATGTCATTCTTGGCATAGAGTTGAGCAGTATTTCACTACTTGCGAGACTATACTAGTTTCACAAGATGCTACACTACACTGTGTGGAAGATTTGGTTAATGAATAATCCTAGTCTTTGATCCTTTCCCAAAGAGTAATGCTCATATTTCTTCTGAGCTGATTCTTCACACTCCCACTCCATTTCCATCTTCACCGATGGGTCTGTCTGCAGATGGTGTTGGCTACTCTGTTTTTTTCCTGACCACACGTATATGTGTCGCCTGTGTAACGGTTCTATTGTTACGTAAAGTATGGTGACAAATAAACACAGACACTAAGATACTATATATATATTTGGTCGAATATACAGAAGTACACAGGTGATACGTTGGTGTGAGTTGAGCGCACTGAGCGTTGGTACAGTATCTCGCAAGTGTCTGCTCTAGACCACACTTGAAAGTAGACTCTGGTTAATGTTTGCTATTGCTGCTTATATGCTCGGGCAACGCCTCACCGTGTTGCCCGGGCAACGCCTCACCTCATTCATCTCCAAAGGTTGACAGGAATATTAACAAAGCATTTGGAGCGAGTATATTATTGGGATAATCTACTCGCTACAGAACTCCCCCTCCCAGGGGATGAAAGGAAAAATACTTGATCAAGGAACTTAGCTGGTCGGTGAATTGTACGCCCTGCTCGCGTTACATAACCATCAAAGTTAACTTCCTCCTCTTCGCTGATGTCATCTAACTGGGGTCGTAGGGTGGGAGGTCGCACAGGATCGTCCGTCGTCGTAGGAGGCGGTGCTGCTGGTAACTGTGGTCGAAAAGTGAACTGCGTAGTCGGCGGATGTGTCTCTGGATTTAGCAGTGTCGCAGACGTTGAGACGAAGCCTGGAGCAGAGCAGAGAGCTGAGTGAGGCCGGAGTCGTGGAGCTCTATGTGGGAGAGCGTGGCGGCTCGATTGAGATTTGTGAGTGTCTAAACTCGGGGAGCGAAAGCGTGGCGGCTCGATGCGGTCGTAGTCCGCTGTCTGCTCTGTGTCGAAGCTGTAGCGTCTTGGGTTGATTAGGACTGTACACGCCGAGTACTACATTGTTGACTGTGGAAATTGTAGTCTGGTACCAAAAGATGTAGGCAGTGTGTGGACAAGCTCGGTGTAGCAGGAGAGAAGAATGTGCATAATTGTTGCGTCTTTGGGTCGCTGGTGGAGCATTTAGATCCGGGGCGGATGGGCTCGGGCACCAGGACATTAGGAGGTAATGTAGGCACGTAGTTAGGACAACGAGGTAATCACATCTAGAGCTGAATTGTCCTGAAGGCGACGAAGTGTCGGAAACGCAAGCTGTAAGTCCTGTACTGCGCAAAGGGCTTGAGTCGGCCGAGTATCAAAATGCAGTGAACGTGTAGACGAATCTGATGTCAGAGCAGCTGTCGTGGGCGTAGGACGAGCAGTGCCCTGGCAGCGACGGAGAGTCGGCAGGACAAGCTGTAGATCCAACATGATGTAATCATTGATGAGGCTGTCAGATGAGTGAGTAACGATCGTGGAGCAGCAAGCCGTAGTAGATGAAAATGCAGAGATGGACGCGATGAAAATCATAGCTGTGGCGAGGGTGTTGGCAATGTTCCATCACAGCAAACAGTAGCAGTAGAGGTCCAGTGAGAGTCCATGTTGTAGTCCATCGTGGCTGGGTATCGTCGAAACTTCGTGAAGGTCGAAAATAGCCTCCATCTGCATGAACCAAAATTCTGAATCATCTGCGTTGTATGCTGGAAACCTGGTAGATAAATCCATGACGAAGATCTAGTTTGTGACTAGGTGTTCTTTTTCACTCACTGGGTCATCAATGTAACGGTTCTATTGTTACGTAGAGTATGGTGACAAATAAACACAGACACTAAGATACTATATATATATTTGGTCGAATATACAGAAGTACACAGGTGATACGTTGGTGTGAGTTGAGCGCACTGAGCGTTGGTACAGTATCTCGCAAGTGTCTGCTCTAGACCACACTTGAAAGTAGACTCTGGTTAATGTTTGCTATTGCTGCTTATATGCCCGGGCAACGCCTCACCTCATTCATCTCCAAAGGTTGACAGGAATATTAACAAAGCATTTGGAGCGAGTATATTATTGGGATAATCTACTCGCTACACCTGCAACGGAGACTAGCATCATCACAGCAGAACTTTGTGCTATTCTCTATGCTCTTCGTCTCTTGCTTTCTCGTTGTCAATCTTCCTTTGTGGTTGGCGTTGACTCTCGTAGTGCCCTCATGGCTCTCGGGTCCTCTAATCTGGTCCAGCCAGTGGTCGTCGAGATTCAACATTGACTGTTTCTTATTTCCAGTAAATTTAAATCAGTTGAGTTTTGCTGGGTTCCCAGCCATACTGGTGTCTTTAAATGAGTGTTTGGCCACTGACAGCTTCCCTAGCGGCAGACGCTGCCGTTAGGGAAGCTGGCAGCTCTTGTCCCATTTCCTGTAAAGGTATTCCTTATTCCGACTTTTACCCAGTTATTCATTCCTCCATCCTTACCCGTTGGCAGGATTGTTGGACTTCTGTCACTGGTAACAAACTGCGTACTCTTAAAAATAGTGTCTTCATGGCCTTCCTCCTACCATCTAACCAGCGAGGGGGAAACGGCTCTAGAGAGGTTGTGTATTGGCCATACACGCTTAACTTGAGTCACGTAATGGAGCGCTGCCCTGCTCCTTATTGTCCAAATTGCTTTGTCCCTCTTACAGTCTTGCATATCCTGACTTCCAGGACGAGCGTGCGTCTTGCTTCCCAACCATCTCCCGCCTGTCGCTCAATAGAATTCTTGGCGAATCGAATACTTTTGATATCGTTCGCCTTGTGCGTTTCTGTTCTCGTATTAGCATTCTTGGTGATATTTAGCGCCCTTTGATTATTCTGCACATTTGATGGTGCTACACAGCCTTCCCGGTTTGGTGCCCTCTTTTGATAATTACTTACTTCTGAGCTGATTAGTGAGAATCACTAATACCCTACCCCCCATGAAAGTGAGAAATGAGGTATTTTGTGATCTAAAGTACAGTATATTAAATCACCCTAATATATTACAACTTTTGTTTACTGTTGTATTGATAAGAGAATAAAACAAAACAGTTCTTTCGGACATATATATTACATAATCAATGTACAAACTGTGACTAAAATAGGTAAATAAAAGCAAAACATTCACAGTTAGCTCTCCTATGTTGGAAATGTTCTTGCATGGTCAACATACTGGTCTTTTTTGTAATCATATTGGTAGTCATTGTTAATTTGGCAAAGAACCTGTGCCACTTGACAAGCATGACTAGAGGTTGTTTTGAATAACATCATCAGCACTTCCTCTTAGGTATAAACTATCTCTTTTGTTTTTCTAAGTTAACCGTTACATTGGAATCTGAGGTATGGTAAACACACAATTTTTCTATAACTAATGTTCACAAAAATTGTGCTGCAACCTAACCAAAATTGTACCTTGGTATCATAGCAGCTAAAATATTTGTGCATCCATAATTATAGTTACAACTTAAATGGACATTTCCATATACAGTATAATATATTTACTTTACAATGTTGGATTGGTTAAAACAATCCATATTATAAGTTTTAAATAAATGCCATAATATGAATTTCTTTCTATTAACAGACACAAATGTCACAAACGTCTCCACGATAAATTATATAATCTTATTGTGGCATTTACTCAAAAGTAAGAGTTGCTATGTCATTGCCATTACTGTGCACAATAAATTACAGAGGTGGCTTTTTTTTTTCTTTTTTTCCATAAACTAACAATGCTGGGAGACGGCACTGGAAATTTTACTTGGTACTGTTAATAAGATTAAATGAAAGGCACAGGAAATGTTTTGTAATTCTTTGTCTCATGTTACCTTCCACTTATACAACCCCTTAACTTTGAGGGCCTGGTTAATCACAAGCTAAAGTTATGATCTAATAAGTTTACAGTAACTGAATGATGTTAAACACATGGGGATAAAAAATAACAATATACTTCTAATGTCTTGTAATCGATGTGATTAACCAGGTCCAAGACCTTGGCGTTTGAGTACAGTTTGAAGACAAGTGGCAGAATAAGTACAGTACTGGTATGTGGTACGTGTCACACACATATATATATATATATATGCTGGTTGTAGCTTGGAGACAAAACCTACAAAGAACTGTTGCTTCTCATGTTGAAAGTGGCGAAGGATGATTCATGTCCTAAGCAGGAGGAATGGAAAGGTTCTTTGGAATGCACAACTGATCCAATCCCACTTAATACACTAATCTTCCTTTGGGAGTTAGGATTACATGCTTTAAAATTCTTTGGAAACTACACATGGCTTAGCAAACCCTCTAAATTTCAGAATACCTGAATCACAATTATAGGATATAATTCAAGTTTAGAAGTTGAAAGGCAGAGCAGTGCCATGCTCATTAACTTTATGGAAAAACAAAGTATGATGCCAAGAAATAAGAAGAGCAAAATACATAAGGAATGATTAACAATAGTAGTTACAGTTCACAGTTCATTTCAGACATTTGTCAACAAAGAAATGTCAATAAAGTTCAGACAAAAACAAAAGAGCTCGTGCTGCATCTTTTGAGCAACTAATGTCGTGCAAAAGTGTAACTAATGATCAATATCACACATACTCACATCATTGGGATATGCTGGTTTTACTGGCTCATATCTTACATCTATAGTAAGCACTGAACTGATAGAAATAGTAACAAAATATAGGTCAGCATTTGACTTGTACACTATATAAAGATACACTTAGCACTATGAGTATATCAAATGTAAAATCGACACCATTATACATTTATGTTCAAACTACCCCTAATGTCTGGTTATTCCCATGTAACACGAATGTACAGTGTCATTTGGCAGTTTCATCAAGATATACAGATGAATCATGAACACAGATACGATCTCTTACCAACAAAAAGAAAATGCCCTAGAAATTATGTAAATAAAGGTAACATTTTCTATCACATGATGCCAATCCTTCTCCATATCATATATTTAAAATCTTCAATACACCTATGGATGTTCAACAAAGGTTCATGAAATCTGTACTCACAATTCTTCAATACAACATTACACCTATATTAAGCAATTACTATTTCTATTTATAATTTAATTTAAGCACTGCTCTTCAAATTAGGAGAATTTTATAAGTTAAATCTAATTGTGTTTCAAGCTGACATCTTGGATAGGTGGTACTGATAAAGTGGGTGTATGGCGGTGAAGTCTTGAGCACACAATCACTACGAGATGCAGCAGCACTTGGTCGGCTTGTTTTCTGCCTCGGCTGGACTGTCTGCCTGTTGTTTGCTGGCAGAGATCAAACGGGTCAGGTCATAAAAAGCCTGTAAAAAGAATGGTTATGTAACACAATTGTCTTAAAATATGGTAAATATATTAAAGGCTTCAGTTAATTACTGTGGTATAATATACAAATTGTGTATGTAAATGCATAGAAGTTATCAATCTGAAGAGGGTTTCCCAAGATACCAGTACTGTATACAAACACACACAACAGCAAATCTGTCAAATGGAGACAAATTTAACCAATGATTAGTGGTTTACATTGTCAGTAATTAATAATTGATCATGCCAATAATTACTAGTTTACAATGTCAATACTGTATGTTAGTTTTCTGAGCCTCTTATGTTCCTTGCAAATTAAAGCAGCAACTAACAAGAGGCAAAACCACCCAAATCATGCATATATTAATGAAAATATATAAGAAATGAAACAGCTCATCATCCATGACATGCCTGTATGATTAACAAATTAATATTTTATTAACAGATCAGAGATCATGCAGGAACTTGTACATGGCATAACATTCAACCCAAGTTTCTAACATTACATAACTTTCTAATCCTATCAACAGCTCTATTAAGATTAGTGAGAAATATTATGATAATCTCAATTCATAATGTAGGCAACATAACAAGGAAGTAACCCAAGAAGATGAGAAGATCTTAAAAGTTATAGGTAGAAGCCAAGTTTTTTTGTGATTGGGTGGACTTTGAACATTATAGACATTATGACTTTTTGTATTCCAAACTTACTTCAATAGCATACTTTTGTTTGTTCCCATCAAGTGAAATGATATCTCATTGTCACTAAAGTTTGTTTATTCACTGTCTCACTCTCTCTCTCCCACTCATACTTTCTATATAAACAGTATATGTATAAAATTCTCACTCTCTCTCTCGTTTTGAAAAAAAAAAAAAGCCAGTGTGCCCAGTCCAGAGAGGAAGCAATGCCATTAAAAAATCCAAAGGATGTAGATAGAAAACTACTTTGATCCCAGCAATTATATATAACATCTAATGCCACTTCAGTTCCTTCATCTATTCTTGCCTCACTTCAACTCGCAGCCATTGTTATATTACTATACTGCATTATATAATAACAAAGATTTTTTTCCTTTATTACATTATGGAATAATCAGATACTAATGGAGACCTTCAACAACCAACTTCAAGGATGAGATTTAAGGGCAAGGCATGTTCCCTTAATGGGTCAATAATATATTTTAACAATCACTACTGCCATTATTAAGCTTGTCTTGTGCACTGCTAATCAATGTGTGTGTTGTCTCAACACAAGTACAAAAGAAGGTCCCAACAAGGAAGACTTTTATATGAACACAAAATCCCTTGAAGCATCCTTAAATTAAACCAATTATCCCTATTACCCCAGATCATCCATAGCCCTAAGAACACTGATCGAGGTCTTGCATACATTTTAAAACTCGGATATAATGATAACTGCTTTTCATTTACTGTATATGCCAGCATCCAACCAGGCAAATGTTGGATGCAGCCAAGTCAAGAAGAATAATTCTTTGGCAAATGATTCTTTCATTGCAATATGTCAGAAGTATAAGATGCTTAAAGCCAAATTTCTTAAGGAAAATAGATTATTTACCATAAAACAGCTTCCCACTACTCTGGCATGGGAGGTATCAATGAATTTAAAATTAACCCAATACACATAGAGTTTGGCACTAATGAACACAAATGGATTTTGTGTAATAATTATAATCTTAATATTTGACACATTAAACTTAATGAAAATATAATTAATGATGCAATAAAATTACAATTCATGCTTTAATTATTCACAAATACATTTCACTTATAAAACTGAACAATATTTTAGGTACATTAATACTGTACATGGTATGTACGATATATTAGTTTTCTATATTGGTGAAGCTACTTTCTTCAGTTTATAAAGCAGTTACTCTAAGTCCACTGACCAAGCTTCTTGGACCATAATTTACAACAAAAACTGTAGTAAAATGTCTTACAATGCTGGTAAGACACTTTAGACCTCCAAATGCAGGCAAGACACTAAGTAATAATAAGACAGTTTGTAATGTTTTAGTAACAAAACTATAAAATCATGTTTGATGCCCAGAACAATACACTTGGGACCATAAAATAAACCTCAGCCAGGAAAGAGGATACGATACCATGAAGAATAGTACTTAAACACTACTGCAACACCCCATATCTTCCTAATGTTACCAGAACAAGAAGGCAAAATTAGTCCCTTATTTATTGTCTTTAAAAGTGTAGTATGAAGAGAATTTTCCAAGGAGTGGTTTCCAAACTCCAACTAGATTGGACAATGGGTCAAAAGTCACAAGCTAAAGAACCCTTGGTTCTAGGTTTCTTAATAAGGGAGGATGACCACCTCCCTCCAGTCACCAGGGAAGTACCCAGTGTCCCTTAAATGATTACATAAAAGCAATAAATACTGCAATATGGGAGATGGTGGATCATCTCAGAATATTGCAATGGAGCGACAGAGAAACAGAGTAGATTAGAGTTCATAAATCTTAAAGGAATGCATGTATATATATATCAATACTATGTGGTAAAGTTGAAAGAAAGACACACAGCAAAGGGACTTGTGAGCAAGGAATTCAGAAGGAAGGTGAGCACCTATATTAAGAGTCAAGAAGTAAGAGCCAAGCTCATTTAAATGGTTAACAGGTCAGCAGTCATGCACTGCACCTGAAATAACACTTAATTACAGAAAGGATTCTACTTAAGGAACTCCAGAAATGCATATTGTTCAATAAATATTTGCCCCTTCCTCAGAAATCTGTAATCAAAGAATTGATAAGACAAGACCAGAACATTTCCCAATTATAGAGTACAGTAGTACACTACATGGCTTAAAAAAGTCAAATTACATCAGATCACACATGCCTTTCATTTATGCATAATATACACAACTGTTTCATTGCTATGTACTTGTAATCCTTTCTCTCACTCCATTATTAAGGTACAGTATAATGTCATCATTTGTACTCAATTTACATATACATAGTCTGTAAGTGCAGTAATAATGCATGTCTCATTTGTTAGTTTAGTTGTTGTAAGGTAGAACTAGACTTTCTGTACAGTTATCAGTAGCAATGATGGTCAACTTAAACTTTATTAAATACCATTTTGAAATACAGTATTAACCCAATTATTTACAATATGTTTGAATTGTTGAAGTTATTGAATGCTTTGATTGCCAACCTGCTGCCAAAAATGTATTCCATAACTTTGCATATTTTGAGTTGAAAAAAATATGCAAAGCTCTTTGCATATCAGAGTTAAAACTGTCCCGTTTGAGTGTAACACCTCTTGCAAGGAGGTTTATTCTCGAGGGAGTTGTAGAAAAGCTAAGTGTGAGGTATGAATTTGTGGAAATCTTTAAAACACAAACCAACTGTGCTCTTGTAAGTTGTAGTGTCTGAATGTATGTCAATGAGTTGGGTGAATTAAGTGTGCTCTCACTAGATGTGTGGCCTTGTCTTGAATGTTGACAACCAGCTTAGTTAAGTCTATGGACACAAGTTCTAAATTAGTGATGAGTACCCCATGGCAGATATAATTTGTTACTTGTAAAGAGTTGAACATCCTTTAGCATCTAGATGAGGTTTGAATCTACACAGACATGAAAATTTCATAACACATTTACCTGCAGCATTTTTCAGTGTTTAGTTAGGGACAGATTTTTATCAATATCTACAAATTAATATAATAATAAGAGTTATTATGGTATTTATAAATTTTTCTTTTGAGATTTATGACAGTGGTATATTTGGCACCTCCAAGACAGCCATTATTTTTCTGTGATGCACCATTGGATTGCAATGTTTTTTGTATTAATGTGCTTCATATTCTCTTTTTGCGTGTAGTGTAGTCCAGTCACACTGCCCTGGGCTACTATTGCATCTATGGACTGTTCATGAAATGAATGATTTTTAAAATCCTGAAACATTTGACTACTTAAGTAGTTTTCAAGGAGGAGCAAAACATATCCACCACTGCCAAGCAACATCCAAGATCATAGCATATACAGTATATCTTCACAAATTAGAGATCTGCTCCATTTTGCAGTCATCTTTAGCAACATTAAATAGTTTTCTATTATCATTAGAGCTAAATTACCCATTGGTTAACAATCATTACTAATCTCTAAACCAAGATGTTTTCAAAACATCTTCCCAACAACTAAGAGCAAGGATGCGGTTCTACAGTTTAATACCAATGGCATCGTTACGTTTCTGTTTATCAGCTACAGTCCTGCCCTCGTGCCAAATTAGTGGTCAAGTGTACCACTGATCAATACAGGCTTGGAAGAGGCCCGAGAGTAGACGCAGGTTTCGTGGGGTACACAGTCTCATCCTAAGAATTTGCAAGTATCCATCAAAGATAAATTTAATTTGTTTATTTTGTAATGTTGCAGGTAGAGAAGTAGGAGCTGGTACAGGGAGGAAGCCCTAGGGAGACATTGGTAGCTTCAACAACTTGCATTTTGCATGCAATGAGAAGTAAGGAGTTTATTCTAATCTATATTACTGGTGGATTCACAATAATAATAATAATAAATTATTATAATTATTATTTCATTCACCATTTCATGTAATCATATAAGTGTGTCTAGGAGACTGGAACCAGAGGCCCTACACACGTGTGAGGCAGAAGCTCTACCCACTCAGCTATCAGTAGCCTTAATAAGGGAAGATTCCAGAAGCCACTACTATTATTACTGAACTACCTGTGTATTTTTCTTTATTACTGAAAGACAACAATGGCTGTCAATTTATTCTTCAATATTTAACCTAAATGCAATGTTTATGATTGAATATGCAGGTGTAAAGATCGGATGCATCTTAAAATCTAATATGACTGATAAATATGAAACACATTTTTGTTAAGATATGGTCCACAATGACGACTTGTCCCAGTATTCATATAGCAGCTGCTCTCTACAAGGAGAAAGCTAGTTTATCCTGTTGTCCAAGTTCCAAATTTGTTTGTTTTTTCTTAATTTTGGCTGCCAATGTATAAGATATAGTTACCAATCCTCTATACCAATTTACCATGTAAAATTATCCATCATATGAAGAAGCACCACACTTGGGAAACTTGAGTAATGAACTGAAAAGCTAATACAAAAATAATGTTTACAAAAATGTTCAATCATTGCCAAAATATACAGTGCTACAAATCTTCTACTACACACATGAATAAGGAAAATGCCACAACAAAAACACTACTGAAATAAACTAAGTCTATAAATTTTTGCAACAATTTCCACCAAGCACAAATAAACCATTTCTAAAACAATGTGTCTAATACTGCAACAACTTCCCACTAAGACAGTAAAGAAAACATTTCCCAGCATTAACGTTCCAGTAATGAGACAGCAATACCAGACAAGTCTAGGCATCTAGGACCACACATTTATGAACCTAAACTAAGGGATACAGGCAAAACAACGCGTACAAATAAGGCCTATTCTCCACGATACTAAGGCAAGGCACCATCCATGCAGCATGAGGCACAGGTCATTAATACCCTTTTACAGGAGGCATGGCCATTTGTCCATCAAGAGGCAGAGAATAGAAAAAGGCCAATATGAGGCAAAGGACATTATAAACCCAATAAGAAAGGGGTGATACATAACACTGCAAGCAAAGGGCATGACTAAGTCGAGTAGGGGGACATCTGACCTAAAGAATGCAGCACTTGGGTTTTTTCCTCTTGCCAGGATCTTTACCCTTGCCATTGGTGTTCTTATTGTCTTCCAATTTGCGAGAGCGAATCTCACGCATCAAATCAAAGAAAACCTGTTGGGTGTGGGAGATTAAATGTTAGACAAGACACACACATAGACACATGATACCACTCATACTGAAAACATTTACCTATTCATGTTAAACTCTTTTATGAACCAACACAGAAGCAAAAAACGAAATTGAGAGAGAGGAGAGAAGAAAGAGAGAAGAGAGGAGAGAAGAGAGGAGAGAGAGAGAGAAGAGAGGAGAGAGAAGAGAGGAGAGAGAAGAGAGGAGAGAGAAGAGAGGAGAGAGAGAGAAGAGAGAGAGAGAGAGAAGGAAAGGAGGAGGAGGAGGGGGGTGAGGAGGATGAGCCTATTATGTGTAATAGTGTGAGAGTGAGTGAGTGAGTGTGTGAGAGTGTGAGAGTGAGTGTGTGTGCATATCTTTAAAAATTTGAAGTAAAAAAATATGAAAAATAAATTGTTTCAAACTGAATTGTTATCACAAAGCAAACAATTTATAATAAAAACAACTAAAATAAGTTAAGAGCAATAAATTCAGCCAATTCTCTCTTAAGTCACTCCAACACTATGTACATGATAACACAAATACACTAACTCATTACAAACATAATAATCTAGTGCAATAAAATATATAGAAATAAATATTTCTCTAGAGAATAGGTTCATGCTTTGTACATGTTTCAACAAACAAGGTGAAAGAAGCTCTGCAGCACACGGTTTGGATTATAATGGATTTATCAACATTTAGAAGAAAAACCTGAAATCTGGAACTGTCCAGCTATAAAGATATTCCAGCTGCTTCAATTGCATTTATATATATTCTTAACATTTTTATTAATCCTTCTAATTCACCATTAGAACACCAAGCTCAGCGATGTTTCCATTAACACACTGCTTGTGGACTGAAGAGTCCTCAATAGTTGAAATGGCTTTTGGACTATTTGTGTCAAGTGAAAACATGAAGCTGGAGAATCTTTGCTAATGCTTTAATTACAGTTCCATAAATCTGAACAGATAAAAACCCAAGAGCAATATTCATTTACATTATTATAAATATGATCTTCTATGTACATTCAGTATTTTCAATGTGTTTGCATGACTTTTATGCTGAAATCTCTTGAATTGCAGAGCCAGTTTTGTACATCAAGGACTTGTTCACCTCATCCTCTACCACGACAAGAATTTTTGTAAATGATTGTGTCAAACAAAGGGAGGGAAGGAAGACGGTGGTGAGTCTTACTCAAGCCACCTCCAAGGGACCCACTTACTGTAATACAAAAAAGTGAGAAATACCTTCAACATCCCCACAAGCAAAAATTGGTAACAAAAGTTAAGACAGATTACGACTTTGCAAATTACTAGATAAGGAAAATTGAGGAGAGTAGAGTGCTGAAAGAAGACATTTACAAACTTCTGGACTGGGCAGATAAATGGCTGTTGAAATTCAATCCAAGTAATTGCAATGTAATGAAGATGGTGAAAGGCGATAGACCTGTAGGTAACTACACCGTAAGTGTAAGGCAACTACAGGTAACAATAAGAGAAAAAAACTTTTATGAGGAAGGACTGGCAACTGTTGGCTGCCTGCCATCAGCCGGGATAGAAACAGCACACCTATTTCCCGTTATTGATTACCCTCGGTTTATTTGTATAACTCTAAAAATAGATTAAATGTACTGTGTGCAGTGTCTGGGTACAGGTGCAGCACCTCAACCATGATACCACTCTCCTTCATCCCTCGAGATTGATTACATGATGCTGGTAATTACCTAAGTGTAGTTACAAGATGAGAATTACTCTCATGGTGTCCTGTCTTCCCAGCACTCTTTGTTATATAATGCTTTAAAATTACTGACAGTTTTGGCCTCCACCACCTTCTCACCTAACTTATTTCAACCGTCTACCAGTCCGTTTACAAGTGAATTTTCTTATATTTCTTCGGCAGCTTTGTTTTGTTAGTTTAAATCTATGACCTCTTGTTCTTGAAGTTCCAGGTCTCAGGAATTCTTCCCTATCAATTTTATCGATTCCTGTTACTATTTTGCATGTTGTGATCATATCGCCTCTTTTTCTTCTATCTACTAGATTTGGCATATTTAAAGCCTCTAACCTCTCCTTGTAGCTCTTGTCCTTCAGTTCTGGGAGCCACTTAGTGGCATGTCTTTGTACCTTTTTCAGTTTGTTGATGGGCTTCTTTCAAGACATGGGCACCACACAACCACTGCATATTCTAGCTTTAGTCTAACAAAAGTCATAAACAATTTCTTTAGTATTTTGCCATCCATGTACTTAAAAGCAATTCTGAAGTTAGAAAGTGTAGCATAGGCTCCTCACACAATGTTCTTAATGTAGTCCTCAGGTGATAGTTTTCTATCTAGAACCACCCCTAGACCTCTTTCTTTATCAGAAGTCTTTAAAGATTTCCCACATAATTTATACGTTGTATGGGGTCTATGTTCTCCTATTCCACCATTCCATAACATGGCATTTATTCACGTTAAATTCCATTTGCCAAGTGGTGCTTTGTCCAGGTTTGCTTGAAGAGCATGGCACTCATCTAAGTGCTGCAATCATGCTGGATGCCAACATTCAGCAACATTATATTTACAACGTAAAAATTAGTAAAATCAAATTAATTTAAGGTTGGCAATGGTGCCCGGTTGGCAGTAGAAGCACAAAAATGTTGCCAGAACTCATGACTGTTTATTAAAGGTTTGCAAAATATTTAACAAATGTAAAATTTATTCAGTAAACCAAGTTCATGGAATATTTCAGCAAATATTGCATGCACTTGCTATATGTCCTGACTGGTTATTTAAAATGTCTAAAATTTGGAAATTCAACATTGGCTTGTCTCAATAATTAGGATAAATGGAGATTAATTTACTGCATTTGACTTGTTGGCAACAGCATGCAAATCTAATTTCTTTCCATTCAAAGTAATGTACCTATACTGGCACAGTATTATAAAGTTAATAAGGGATTCGTAAGGTAATATACAAGGTGCTGGAAAGACAGACTACTGGAAACTGATCTCAGCTTCAGAATTCTCAAACACTTTACAAGGTGTTTAAAAAAATCCTGCGGCAGTTTTGTTTAATCTTTTAAGTTTTACTAAATGCAAATATCTATTTTAATATTAATTTTATGCTCATCATAAATCAATAGAAAAAAAAAGTTTGCATACCTCAATCAACAGTAAATTACTTTACAGTGATTTTATCTTTGGATTTTAAAGATTTTATTATTTACAAAGTAAAGAAATACATAGCAGAAAATGATTTAATCAATAAATGTTTAACTACAGGTACAGTATTTCCATCTAACTTTCCATTCAACTTTCTTTCTCTTGTTGTCGAGTGTAAATTTCTCCTGCCCGATTTACACCAACCTAACCAGTACAGAATTTGTATGTTATGAGTGTAACATACGGCAATATATTGTGAATAATTCTGGTGCAAAGTCCAGGTGAATGTTTGTATGTTTACATATGTTATGGTATGACAAATAATGTATGATATAGTAGGACATTACATTATTATTGAATTAGTACCCAACTTATTCAATAATGTTGTTCCTAATCAGCAAGTTGGCAAATTTTAGCAATACCTTCTAATATGGTGTGTTAACCTATCCTGCATTCGGAAATATTTTGCACAAATAAATCCTTTTTTTTTGTAATTACTGAACCCTGTACAAAATATATAATTTAAAAGAAATTTGAAGAAGTCATCTATGAAAACTAAAAAAAATAAGATTGAACACAATACTAAATAAAAGTAAAAAAAAGTATATTTAAAAGGTAAAATAGCTCTCTAACAAATAATCAAAAGCACAGAGCAGCAAGCTAATACTTGTAAGGAAAAATTCAATCCTATAGGATAATCAAAATGGTCCATGTTACTGTGGCATGTCAAAACCAAAGGCAGTAACAAAACTGCTTAATTACAAGCGTGGGAAAGATTAATGTTAATGAACAGTATACACTTTACCTTGTCAACATTAGCTCTTGTCTTAGCCGAGGTCTCTACGTAAGGCACACCCCATTGTCCAGCACGATTCTTTGCTTCGTCTTCTGACACTTTCCTTCGCTCGGTCAAGTCAGCTTTGTTGCCTACTAGCAAAAATGGGATATGCTCATCATTTTTCACTCGCAGAATTTGTTCTCTGAAAGAAATAGTAAATGACGTGAAAATCTTTACTAACTTTTTAAGATGTTACAATCATAAATAGACCCACAAAAACTGCAAACATAAAACTTTGAGAAGAATTAGTAAATTCTAAAATGATAAATGAATGAGAAAAATAGGTAAATTGAATACAGTACAGTATATCCAGCAGTGAGTACAAGACACTGTGAATGGATGGATGGTCAGGAGTTGGAGATGTTAACAACACATTACCACACATAGCCAGTGTGACAGTGGTGGCAATCGTGCATAATGTCTCGTGAACGCTTTTGACCACCGTATTAGAAACTGTATTAGAAAATATATTTCATTACCAACATACAATCATTCCTGTTGATCATTGAGTGAAAATACTGTATGTAGTTTCAAAAGTATTCTTGGATGTACACAAACAGTGGCGGCAATATCATGCTCTGAGCACAACTATGTAAGCATGTCACACTAACACCACAAGAAAGATAATATAGTTTTTTTTACCTGTTATCATATATACAATTACTTTAACTTGTAACAATTCTGACACACTATTGAAAGAATTTAAAAAAACTTACCTGAATTCTTGGGTAGCTTGGAATGAGTCGTCTTCTGTTATGGAGAAGACACAGAGGAACCCCTCACCAGACCTGCGCACAACACACATTTATAAAATAAATAAAAAATAAAATGTTTATTTAGGTAAGGTACATACATACAAGAAATTTTTACAAAGATTGGTTGACTTATAGGTAGAGCTAGTACATACAAAGCCTAAAGCCACTATTACGCAAAGCGTTTCGGGCATATTATCTCATACTCATATTTCGGGCATATATATCTCATATCTTATTATCTCATAAATTTTGTAAATTTAAAATAGGTATTTATCAAAAGAAGATGCTAAGCTGGGAAGACAATTTAGCGGGGTTTAAGATACAGTAAATACTAAGTCTTAAGCACTCGTACAAACAAAAAGAAAAATACAAATATTGTTCGTGTTTTGCCCAGCTTCCATCGTATACATTTCAAGCATATTTAACAGTTTTAATTTTCAATCAAAGGGATAAGGTATTCTCAAAATACTGTACAAAATCTTGCAGAAAAATAAACAAGCAACACATACCAGGCAGTCTGTAAAAAATTACAGTCTGTAAGCTGTAATTTGTTATGGCTGTAATGATTGGTATACATCACTTATGAATAAAATCAATGAATTGATTAAATCATTAACGTTTATAATTGTGCTACTCCCTTTATTGAAGCTCCTTACAGCATTCAATAAATTTTTATGGCATTTCATAACATTTCACCATTTTCATGGTTTCCAGTATTTTCCAGATACAGTACCTTCTCAATGGAGGGTGGTTGATTTATATAAAAATTAACAGGTAATAGATGAGGGATGCTGGCTTGTTTTAAGTGTTGGTTAAACACTCGTGTATGTCATATGCATATTATATATGGTATATATATACCAGTACTGTACATATTCAACACCAGCATATATATATATACTGTACATGTATATGCTGATGACAATTTTGAAGAACAACAAACAACAAATCACACTTTTCTGGTAACACTCATTATATATCCTTTATTAAATTCTAAGCTTTACCTGAAGTAGTTGTCTCTGATGGCAGCATAATCTTCCTGTCCTGCCGTGTCAAGAATATCTATTTGGACCTCCTCACCATCCAGAACAACTTTTTTGCGGTAACTATCAGCCTTGGTGGGTTCGTAATCTTCGACGAACTGTAGACATTTATATTTTGAATCACTAATCAAAATCATTATTTTTAATAACAAAAATGTAAACAGTACAGTATACAGTACAGTATTACATTACTAATACTAATTACTAAATGGCTTGAGGCTCATGATATCTGATGTATAATAAACTAATCTGATGTATACTTAGCATTTAAGAATTCACATTGAAGAACAATACTGTACATTAATTTAATGCATGCTTTAAAAATACAAAACCTTAAATACTGTACAGCTCGTTTATAATCATAAATAATAGTGTCTAACAGTTTGCCTCAATTAATAATTTTAACAATTCATTGTGTCGGGGGACAGGTAGCCAGTTTATATATACAGTACATGTTAGGCTTGTACTGAGGTCCCCCCAGAGATAAATTACTGACCCTCCCCAGGCTACAACCCTACAACAAATGGCTAATTCCTGCATGTTTACTGCTAGGTGAATAGGGGCATTAGGAAATAAGAAACGTTCCCAACCATTTCTCTCCTGCCGGTGACAGAAATACCTGTAATTGGGTAGGGATGGCTTGAGAGGGCGATGACTAGTTAGGGAAGGGGGGGGGGGATGACTTGGGGGGGGGGAGGGATGAAGTGGGGGAAGACTGTTTATAATATGGGGGTGAGACTAGTATGAGACACACCCAGATGACAATAGAGCAGGTCCCAGCTATCACATCATCAACATACAACCTGGACCATTGTCTACATCCCTCATTATTATATGCTCCTTTCTCTTGTAGCAGCAGCAGTGCCTTAACCTCATTTCTCTTATGCCAGCAGCAGATATCAAGGCGTCCTAACCTCCTCCTTTCATGTGAATATTTCCACAGGTATATAGGGCTTTCTGTAATATTAAACTATTTAGAATAGTATTTGCCAATTTAAAATGTGGAATTGCCTTGATTTGTTGTTTATGAATACAGTATATAAAACACCTGAAGCAGCCTCAAAGGTAAAAAACATTAAAATCCCCAGTTTTCTGATGACATAAAAACAAAAACTAATCCACCACTATACTGTATGTGTCTGGTGAAGAGGTGAACTTCTGGAGTAAGAGAACATTAAGGTTGGCTGTCACTAGGCCGTTTCCTCTGCCACAGCTCTGTGCTTCTCTTACCAACATTCCTAATACTGTAGGCTACCTAACTCCGCACCCGGTTGTTCTCCGCATGTTGACCTTGTTAGTGATAGCAGTTCTCTCTAAACTCTGGGAATTTTCCACAATAAACTTCATAGTGGTGCAAGGTGTGTGAATAGCTTTGCAGACAAAGATTTAATTTCGTTAGATCTACTTCAGCAGAGGTTATCAAATGATATGAATTCAGAAACATCCTTTAAGGGGTATTAAAGTACAGTTCACTAAAATGTTAAACAACTGTGCACTTTGTACTAGTAGACCAAGGTAATATTTGTTATCAATGCTGGTATTTATGATGAAGGTGAGAGACGGAGACAGCCATGACAGAATACAGTAGTAGTACAAATGAACCAATGTGTAAACAGTAGTAATAAATGGCGATACAGCACGCTTAACACAGCCACTGTCAGGTCGAGCGTCGACGTGTGTCTGGTGTGAAGCTCAACCTTCAGCTTACAGCTGCATCAGCCAGCAATATTCTGTGGGGTGAGACCAGCAGCACTACAGGTCAGCAAGACCCAGTTGTTCAGCAAGTGAAGGTGGTCCTCATCCACACCACTCTCTTTTCCCTAAATTATCATCCCTATGGGCATTTTGCTCTTGGTCGCTCTTGGCATAAGAGATGCAGCATCACTTACCCCCCCCCTGGGAGTCAGGGATGCTGCCAGAGATGCAGCATCACTTACCCCTGGGGAGTCAGGAATGCTGCCAGAGATGCAGCATCACACACCCCTGGGAAGTCAGGGATGCTGCCAGAGATGCAGCATCACTTACCCCTGGGGAATCAGGGATGCTGCCAGAGATGCAGCATCACTTGCCCGATGCCAGAGATGCAGCATCACGTACCCCTGGCGAGTCAGGGATGTTGCCAGAGATGCAGCATCACGTACCCCTGGGGAGTCAGGGATGCTGCCAGAGATGCAGCATCACGTACCCCTGGGGAGTCAGGAATGCTGCCAGAGCTCTGGTTCCCACACACATTACCTGAGAGCGGTGACCACCGGCCGGCCACCTCTCCCACCAGTAATGACATACACTCGGCCTCGAGGCCATACTGGCGGGCATGGTTAGTGTTGTGGTCACCAGCGAGGCCACCATACTACTCTGGCTAGTTACATCTCCCACCTCACAACCTTCCTTACAGTACTACTACTACTTCTCTCTCTCCCTTCCCTTCTCTACAGTAGCCCTAGCCGACATTCCCTTGGTCAAGAAAGGAGAGAACTTCCGGGGTGGGGGCGGGAACACGATGGAAGGACAAAGGAGGCGTAAATAAGATTTAAATATAAACCGAAATTGGATATAAATTGGACGAGTTTAGATTCAGGATAGACCTGGGTGAATACTGGTTTACATACAGGAGTGGTGATTTATGGGGACAATTTACCAGGTAACATTACAGATTACAGACCTTGGGGTCGCTGGATAATTTACCGTCGGTTGGTTAGACATATATATATAAGCGTGACCCGGGCGTTACAGTCAGGTGGCCGTGTTGTTATTCCCGTGGGAGTCCTCACCCCCACCCCCGTCACCCTCACGTGTCCACCCACCGTGTCTTCAACTTTCCCCTCGGGAGGTCACAACTCACAGCGCGCCACGCAGATATGTTCAACCTCCCGATATACATTAACTTTTTCAACTGTGAGTAATTATTTGAGGATGGCGCTCAGTCAGTATGACTAGAGCAAGGATCACCACTAAGTACACGTTTATTAAATCGTTGTTTGTCCTTGAACGTGTCTATCACCAAAAGTATACATGTGTAGAGAGGCGGGTAATGGGTCCTGTCTATCGCTGCAGTACCACAAGCCTCTCACGCATAGCCAAGACTCCTGAGACACCCTGGCAGTAAAGTTGGACACGCTGAGAGACAGTAAGGCAGGGAAGACAGTGACAGACGGTAAGGTAGGGGAGACGGTAAGGCAGGGGAGACAGTAAGGTAAGAGGTAACTAGGGAGTTAGTGCCGGCACTGACCTCGTCATACATGAACTGTAGAGTGAGTGCCGACTTGCCGACACCGCCGGAGCCCACCATGATGACCTTGTGCAAGGCGGGCGCCGGCGGGTTTTTCTTGGCGCCGGACATCTTGGAAGACGCGGAGTTCTTCGTGGTGTCGACGGTGTCGTTGCCGGAGGGAGGAGATAGGCCGGCCAGGTAGTGTCCGGCACGGGCGAGTGGCTCCTGCAGGGAGGTCACTACACGCTGCACTAGTCCACTCCACGCCTCCTTCCAGCTGGTGTCGGCCCCGTGCTTGGGGTGATGGGGTCCCCGCGGCTCGGCCGGATAGTACACGCCCGGGGTGCGTCCGTCACGACTGTAGCTGCAGCTGACGGCCTTCCTCTCACCCTCCTGGTTGATGGTGATCCGGGCCCCGCTGAAACACACAAGATAATCCACCATTAGTTAATCTCCTCATCATCCTGGCTACGGCCGCTCACTAATCAACAGTCACGCTAACCCATCAACGTGCCCTAGGCAGTAACCAACGGCACAGCGATGCACTTACATCTTCAACAAGCCGAGACCAACCCCAAATTAAGCACGTATACCAACACCCGGCACCGCTGCTCACACTCCAAGTATCTGGCAGTTCGTCAAGAACATAAGAACGCAAGAATAACAGCAACTGCAGAACGATGATTCGTCATGCCTGGCGTAGAAGTGTGCTTGTTGATTTATGGAACAAATTACTGGGTAACATGTGGTATAGGCTCGCTGGATTGTTTCAAGCGTAGTTTAGACATTTACATAAACTGAATGAGTTTGGACGGATATAAACACCAGCTGCGTTGTATGGACCGACACGCCTTCTGCGGTGTTATTTATATTATTATTTATACCAAAACTCGTCCATATATGTCTAACCTACGCTTGAAACAATCCAGGGATCACACCTTTATTATGTTACCGTTTAATTTGTTCCATATATCAACACCCCTATTTACACACCAGTATTTACCCAGATCTTTTCTAAGTCAAAATTTATCAAATTTATATCTATTGTTTCGAGTTCTATTTTGTGTTGCTACCTTTAACACCCCATATCCCGTTACAGAGTAAATCACGAAAACGAGGCTGAAAATACCACTTGAAAAAGTCCAATATGACTGAAAATACCACATGAAAAAGTCCAATACGGATCGATACGTGATGAGCGAGGCCGAGGGTCAAGGTCACCCAGGATCAGCTACGGGGTCAGGGGTCAGGTCACCACCGCCACACAATACACTTTACAATATCCTGCACCCGCGACTATCTCATCTCACAAGTTTTATTACACCTTAAATATTATTTCCTCCAAACAAATTGGTCATCTCACACGCATTCACATCCACACGCATTAACACAGGTGGTACACGCACAAGGGGACACAGGTGGTACACGAGCAAGGGGACACAGGTGGTACACGAGCAAGGGGACACAGGTGGTACACGAGCAAGGGGACACAGGTGGTACACGCACAAGGGGACACAGGTGGAAACTGAGCACCCAGTTGAGCCACAGAGACGTTAGAAAAAAAACTTTTTCAGTGTCAAAATAACAAACAAATGGATTTAATTAAATTACAAAATGTTAGAAATACGTGGAACTGATGAACGAGGATGGCCTCGGGTCAATAAAACTTCACATTATTTGGAAGGCTTATAATAATAATGTATAAGAAACTGTGGTGGGTCACCCACAGACGCTCTGCTCCACAGACTTCTTCATAGATGAAGTAAAGGTCCTTGTGTAAAGGAGAAAATGTATATGTTTATCTCTCAGAATGTTTGGTAATATGTTTATTGTTTGTGATGTGTGTCTGTGTATGTATTAACACGATGTACTGAACGGGGTGAAAATAGCTTGAGCTACCTCATCCCTTTGTGTGTATTTTACCTCAATAAACTTATTTAAATTTCTTCATAGATGCAACATAGTCCCATTACAAAGTATGACGGGGAACAATAGCAGGAGATAACTACAAAGTTCCCACCCGCTCTCTAAATGTACAGGGGGATTACCACTACACCTCCAACTGTGTTCATCAGACCGCATGATCAACACCTCACAAAGACCCGCCTCTTCTCACCACGTGTCCGCCCTCACATTTGAATTAGTTTTCAAATTAGTTGCAATGAGGGGGGCGGGGGGGGGGGGGGGGAGGCGTGGGAGTATCACTTCAAATAATGTGATGAGAATGATTACAAGAAGGTGAGAAACTATACATGCATGCACAGGTGAGGGGCGGCCATGGACACCCACGTGAAACACCACCTACACCCTCCCCCCACTACACACCTACACACACAAGAAGGGTGTTCCACCGCCGCCTTGACTAATACACCCCTTCCCTCCCCCCTTTCACACACATTACTACACACCTACCTGATGCCCCCCCCCCCTCCATTCCCACACGAACACGCCCTTCACTGGTAAACAATTGCATCTGCTTACAAAACACCCCAAACTCATTTCTTGTAACAAATATACCTTAGTCAAACTTGTTCAACTTTTGTTTTATTTGACCTCCAAATTTGCTACTCAAAGTGTATATATGAATGATTGTATCGCAAAAAACTTGATATAGGGGAAATAGGGAACAAACCACGAAGGACAATTGTGTAAGGGGCGGGGCATAGAAGCATTCTTGTTTGAGGAGCTGTTCACTTGAGACAGTTAAGCAAGTCCCAGCTGTGTCTGGGTACAAGTGACAGGATGAACAACCCAGCGGGTTTTCTTCCTATTGGGGACTGTTGTGCATGCTGCTGTGGCGGTGTGTCCACTCACAGGATGAGTGGCGCTGCCCAATACTGTCACTATGGCGGTGTGTCCACTCACAAGATGAGTGGCGCTGCCCAATACTGTCACTATGGCGGTGTGTCCACTCACAAGATGAGTGGTGCTGCCCAATACTGTCACTATGGCGGTGTGTCCACTCACAAGATGAGTGGCGCTGCCCAATAAACTCGCCCCTCGGGGCAAAATTTAAAAAATTTAAAGGCTAGGCCTCTCTTACCGTGGTAGTCAAGTGTTAGGTGTTAAAGGAGCCTGGTGGAGAAGGAGCACTTACCACTCCTGCGTCAGCACCACCACGCTACACAAAGACCCAAGGTCACCAACCACACAAAAGTATCACAAGAAGCCACCAAGCCCGGAAGCTAGGCTACACAGCACCGTCTGCGTACACAACAATTGTGACGCACCGTCTGCCTCACAAAGAGCCCAAGCTCTTTTAATTAAGCACGCAAGCACAATTAATTAAGTGAGTACAATAGTCAAGAGTTGGAAGGTAGCAGTGAGACTGTCGGTAGGAGAGCTGAAGGCCAGACGAGTGACAACAAAGGTGCCAGACTCTCCGACACCAAAGGTGCCAGACTCACCGAGGGACACACGTCACTGGACGGCAGTGGACGGCAGGACAACCTTGTCTTCTTGGTACACCAGAAACAACCTCGCTATATCAACAAATCCACAAGGGCCGTGACGAGGGTTCGAACCTACGTCCGAGAGGACCCCAGACGCTGCCTTAATCGAACAAATGATTTGTTCATCTGATGCATCAGGCTATTGTGATTTCTGTGTGTAACCTCGCCATACCTTTGAAATAAATATATCTCGCTATAAAAATGAAATTAAAGTGTTTAAATGTGTTGCGACGAATATATAATATGCTTTATTTGTGTTTCTAGTCATTTTATGGAGGCTCCTGCGGGGGCCTCGAGCCTCTGGCTGTCCCTCTGTGTGACACCCATGTCAGTCTTACTCAGGCCGTGGATGGGTAGTCATTACCATCACTGCCCCCCCCCCCCCACTACTCACTCTCGGTAACGGTAACACACTCTTGTCAGTCTGCATCATCATCATTATTATTACTATTATTATTAGTTTGTGTCAGTAATTATGACAAGTGCAGTGTGTCATACACACTACGAGCACCAATACTAACTACTGGTCCAAGGTAACGATAAAGTGGACTCTTGTGCCGAGAACAGTTCACGTTCTGCCTCATTACTATTGTAGAGAGAGCATAAAGTGTGTCTCACCTCAGCGGCCAGCGGGGGGAGGTGAGACCACCTTCACACGGCCCCCACATACTGTCAAAAACAGTGGACATCACCAACGCAGCACCAGTGGACATGTGTGCCGACGGCGTCGGTGCAGAGCTCCTCTACTCGAGCGAGGAAGCTCTGGACCAACTGTTTCCTCCAGAACACCAGGGGCCAGATTCACGAAGCAGTTACGCAAGTACTTACGAACATGTACATCTTTCCTCAATCTTTGACGGCTTCGGTTACATTTATTAAACAATTTAGAAGCATGAAAACCTCCCAATCAACTGTTGTTATCGTTATAAACAGCCTCCTGGTGCTTTGGAGCTCATTAACTGTTTAATAATTGTAAACAAAGCTTCCAAAGATTGAGAAAAGATGTACACGTTCGTAAGTGCTTGCGTAACTTCTTCGTGAATCTGGCCCCAGGACGCCCTACGAGACTTTGACCTGATCATCTTGGCTACCCGTCGCTACCTGGCTGGTGAAACAGCTTTTGTCAGCCGCGCTAGCGTCTTCGTCACCTCCAAAGACCCCTCACACCAACAAGAACCCGGCTCTAACTGCAGTCAAAGTTAGTCATTAAGAACCATGACAACCTACGACCTACCCTGAAGGTAGGTCGATCGAAGAAGGTCCTTCTCTACAGCTTCAGCAGCGACCCAAGCAGTGGAGATCGGATTCAGATGCCTCGACATTTCAAACACCCCGGACACCGTCAAGAAAGAACGCTACCGCCAACTACGTCGGTGCTTCAAGTGTTACAAGTACGACCACTACACCAGCAACTGTGAACTCTCCCAGGGGAAATGCAGCATCTACACTGAAGAGCGTCACTACAAGGACTGCCAGTCGACTACCCAGCTGTGCATCAACTGCGGAGGCCCACACACCGTCCCCACAAGAACGGAAGAAATTCAGAAGGCACCAACCAACAGGCCAACTACCGGGGTGAGAATAGCTTGAGCTACCTCATCCCTTTGTGTGTATTTTACCTCAATAAACTTATTTCAATTTCAACAGGCCAACTACCAATCAGCCCGCGAGTTTCAACATCCAGGCCACGACCATCCCAATTCTACCCAACTCCTCTGCTACGAAGACGTCCGCACCAGTCCAAACCCCCCCCCCCCCCTCCCTTGGGACCCTGAGGAGATTTAGATAATAGCTGTACTATGTAGGTCTAAGGTGTACTGTACATGGGATTACGACAATTAGTTTAGTTAATGCTGGAAAACTACAAAACCTGATATTCTTGTACATCATGAACACAAAAACGATACAAAACGGTGAAGGTAAGACAGTTATCAGCAAAACATATCCAAATATAATGAGGGGGATG